AAATGCAGGTTTCTTCTTTACCGACAGTGAAAAGGCGGCTTTTTCGAATAATTAAATTATTAACTTTGATTTTATTTAAGATTTATTAAAAATAAAGTACTGTAAATGCTCAAAACAGTCAATTGCAAAGCAAAACATTTGTTGAAAAAACTTGCTAAAATTTACCGAGCAACTGCTTAGAACGATAACAGAACTTATTTTTAAAAAATTCAAATTAGATGCAATGAGATTCCTTAAGGGGGTCAAGGAGAGGAACAATACAAAAATTGGGATATCTTTAAATAAACTTATTTTTTTTATTCCAATTTTATACACATACAGTAACTAAAAATGTTTGTATTATAAACTTTGTGTTTACCTTTTTACTGCATCTCGCATCATCGCAAATTCGAAAACACACTATTATTGGTGTCGGTTTTGTCTTATTAATTAATATTTATGATCACAGAATGTTTTCTCATTTCTCTAATATAAATAATAGAAGAAATTATTTTAAATTATGATGATGAGCATTCAGTTTTTGATTGATAGTCTTCGGATTCAATCAAAGACGATTCAATAATTTGTCAAATTTTGACAATTTTGTATTTTGTAGATATGTGTTAAAAAAAGATAGAACATTTTCGGGCAAGTTGCTGACAAAGACAAATTAAACCAAGTTGTCAGAAACGATCGAAGTAATTAGTTCAATAATCTGCCACACCATGCGAAATACGCTACGGGTATGTGCACAAACACACTTCCAGATTGTTACATTAAACAAACGTCTCTCGTAGTTTACTACTATTATATTTCTCTATGGACAAAACGATGAACTGAAAAACGTTGTGCTTCTTATTGTTGCTTTAATATTTCTGTTCGTTGAAAAAGTGTTTCGTAGTGATAGAGCGTTATCTGTGTGTATTTGTGGACTTTCACAGTGTTATGTTCAGTGTAAAGACTATTATTGTTATTTAATTCTGTGTTGTTAAGTGTTGACATTAGCCGCTTTCCAGCTTCAAGCACGGTGCAGCACAGTGTTCTGTGTTTAAAACGCAAAAGTTAGCAGATCTCGGAGCGCAGTACGGCTGGAACACGCGCGCTTGAAGCATTTGCGCGCGCAAATGGGCAGCTGGAAAGCGGCTTTTGTTGAAAAGTTTCGAAAAGCCAACATATTTTTCTTCTCTCTTTGTAATAAACCGTTATTAGTTAAATTTGCATCAAATTATGTCTTTATTATAAAATAAATAAAAAGCAAATCTAAAAAAAACAGGAAGCAAACTGCTCTACAAGCTGCTACAATGGGATGAGCTCATTTCATAGAAAACAGATGGCGCCACAAATGGCTGTCTGATTCGTATAACGGGACTGTCCATTCTATACCCACTATAAACCTTATTCTATGATGCGGTTTTGTCGTGTTGAGTTGTTGTAAAAACACAGTGTAAGCTACAGTTCTCAGTTATTAAAATATTTCTATTCAAATTGCCCATCATTTACTGCCCATTGCGCAAGAATCTTAACAATGATAAACCTGTGGATTGTGGATAAACTATGACATAATGTCATATGTATGATCATTAAATAACTGGTTCTTCAGTGAGTCACATTTTCTCGAAAATGTTCAGCAGCTTCACCTTCTTCCGTAAGGATTCCTTCCTTTTCTCTACCTTAATGGGTTGTCACTTTTGTCGAATCGAATCCTCTTTAGTTTCGTATGGGAATACCGACTTCTTCCGAAAGTAATTTTCAACATTCCGATTACCATTCTTTGGCATTGGTAGATATTAACAATGGCCCGATTTGCTAAAGTGAATAGGTATAGTATCTAAGGTGGAAATACCGTGGCCGATATGCGTGTACAGAGTACAGAGTATTTTTTAAATATATTGACATCCCACATACAGCCTTTGCCTTTACAGGTAGAAGAAAGGTGTAAATACAGAAGTGCTACAGTTTTGGCTAAATTTTTAGAATCCATGGTCAGAAACAAAAATTGAATGTCAGAAATGTGGAATGTTGAATGCTTTCAGCTTTTTTCAAATGGGATGCCCTATTCTTGAAGAGCACAATGCCCCGATTTCAAAAATATATAGTTTGTCTATATTTGGTTGAGCAGTCTCTTATATATTCGGCTCCAAAAATTGGAAAAATACTATCCTACTTCCATTCTACCTGACAGGTGAAAGCTGCAAGTAAAATTTGATGCATAGTCTTTCCAAAGTCAGTTGAAACAAGGTAGAGGTAAATCACAACTGGTGACTGAATATTTTCATAAGAAATGCACTGACATTAGTCAGCCACCAGTTGCAATTTATCATAACCTTGTTTCAATTGACTTTGGAAATACTATACTTGGTTTCTCTGATAGTAGTTTTAAAATTTTTGGAGCCGAATATATTATAACGTACTTATTTTGGCAATTGCCTAATTATACTGCATACGGCTAGTCAGCATCAGTTCGGCGGCCATGGGTCTATGGGTTCCTTGTATACATCTTACCTTTGGGCGCCACCAAGTTAATTGTGACTTAACTAGGAAGATAACCTAATGATGTTTAAACAAAACCTGTGCAATTGGAGAGCTTATCAATAAAACAACTAATTAAGTACAATAATGTATCTGGCTTTATTAAAAATAATAACAAAATATAGGGATAGCCAGGAGGTTATTAAAAATGTGTTTAGAATAATGCTTGTACCAATTTATAAATATTTGATTATATAAAAAAAATATGAATGTAAATAATGTATAAAAATATTGATTTTTAGATAAACAGTTTTAACTGTGTGTTTACACTTGTGAAAGATTAGAACCACAATATCAGTTACACTCTACCAAGAGGCAAATTCAACACCAGAAAGGTGAAAATTATTGTTAGGGCAACCTCAGGGTAAAATTCTAGAATTTTATTTAAGGGGCACTTACCGAACGTAAATCAGTATCAAGTGATTTATATAAGATTTGCCTAAATAGTAAAAAGTGCAACTTACATGTGTACAAGTGTTGATTATCTTCAAAGGTGTGTGTAAATCCAGAAGTTTTGAAGGGATATTATCTACAGGTTCGGTCTCACTGTAGATAGACTATGGTATGGTAAGTGAGTCATAGTCATGAGTCCTATCCACGTGGTATCTGCTTTACGTAGAACTCAATGTGGTTCTAGCAGAGCGGTACCAAGAGGGTTGCTGAAGGGAGGCTACCAAAGCTAACTGAGAGCAATCTAGATCTAGTCTAGAATCTCTTTCTAGGAGCTGTCCAATTATAGCCTAAGACTGTCTAGCTACAGCCTAGCACTAGGATTGTCCAACGATAGCCTAAGAGTAGGACCCTATAACGATGTTCGTATAAAAAACAAATCGAGCCCCAAATATTAGAAATAATCTTACCTCAAATTGAGGGATACTCTAGACCAAAGGTGAAGTCTTAAACTTCCAAAAGCTGCTCGGAACAGTCCTATTGAAGAAACGAAACACGTGTTGTAGGTTAATAATCCTGAAGAAAATCTCAACCTTACCGAAACAAAATCCAAAATGACCAAGGGACGACTCCAGACAATTATCAATAAGAAATTAGTCTAAACCTTGAGTTCCCTGGCACAAAATTCCAAAAAGTCTCGCCCAAAATCAAATAGGCCGAGACCAACCTTTCGGTATCAAGTCTCAAGATCAAAAGGGCTGATTCTTTCTTTAGATTTCGGAAGAAGGCTTTCACTTGTCAAACTTCTAATTTTGACATTGAAGAAAATTATAGAAAAAAGCGTGTTCAATTTCACTCCAAGAATACGAACTGAAAGTTTGGTTGTATAAAAATGACTGGTGAATATTGAAAAATGCCTATAGAACATATATCAAAAAGTAGAACAGGTCTAAAGAAAACGCCTAGACAAAACAGCTGTTCAATGACATGATGGAAATGAAAAAAATCAAAGAGTAAACAACAATTTATCATAACCTCAGATTATTGATTGGATTTGCAAACAGAGATGATGATGGTAGTACCTCCTTTTCCTAAGATTCTAATCAATAACAGCGGGCCCTGCCGTACTGAATCAAACCTTCCTAGATCAATCAACAAAACTTGCAAACCTGCACAAAAAAACTTTCAGTAGAAGGCAGTAATCAAGGTAACAAAATCTGGGCACAGAAAAGACAGTTGTTTATTCATTTATTTCATTGTAGTTCTATATAGAATCATATCTACTAGAGCAAAACACAGTAGCATATCAAACAAGAAATTGAAAATGCTACAATATAATTGAGACTGTTCAACCAAATATAGACAAACTATATATTTTTGGAATCGGGGCACTGTGCTCTTCAAGAATATAGAACTAAATATAGGGTATCTCATTTGAGAAAAAGTAAAAGTGCGCACATTTCTGACATTCAATATTTGTTTCTGACCATGGATTCCAAAAATTTAGCTAAAACTGTACAACTTTTGTATTTACACCTTTCTTCTACCTGTAAAGGTAAAGGCTGTAGGTGGGGTGTCAATATATAAAAAAACACCCTGTATGTATCCTTCCATGAAATTTAACCCGATACCAGCCAGAAGGGTAAATCGACTTGACTAAAGTAGTTATTTAATTTTTCTTACGCCGAAATGAATCTGAGTAGGAGATTTTATATGCTTTATAGAATTTTTCACTTTATTCTATCACTTTTTCTAGCAGCATGGCTGTGTTAGTAGAAGCAAAGAATATTGCTTCCGGATATTTCTGGATTCTATTGCCAGAATCTCTTCTGCATTATTTGTCCCTCCTTTCATCCTACATAATCAGGCCTATGATGTATCATTCTCTGTTATTTTAACAGCCACGTTAAGTTATCTGTCACTGTTTATTCTATACGTCAAAATAGAGACAACAATAGATGTTGAGCCATAACACAGCCGTTAAAATAACAGGACCGGATACATCATAGGCATGATTGTCACGGCTCTAGGGTGCGTGATAGAAATCTTTTTCTGCACACTCTGTCACTAATTACTTCACTAATTAACTCAAACAACTTAACTCCTCACAACTCTTACATAATTCACTATCTAAAACCCATCACAACCAATCTTAAACTTAAAAACTACTAACTGATACCGGCTGTTACATATCTGTAATCCATTCTTGTCAAATCCAGAATAAACGCCATAATCTTTATTCCAGAATGAAGCAGTATTTTCTAGCTTTTAAGTTCGATTCTGTACTGTTTGGCAAAGGCGCCTTCGCAACTATATATATTTATATTTCAATAAGAAATATTACACACAAAGCAAACAGTCATAACAAAATAAAGTCATAAAGTATGTGTTCATTCAATGATCGGTTCTTCAGTAGGTGGATCAGGCAGCACAGGAGGTATCATTTCTTCTTGGCCTTCAGGATTTTCGCCTTGTTCGCCTTGTTCGCCTTCTTCCGTAAGATTCCCTTCGATATCTTCACCGGCATTTTCTATTTCCTGTTTGATTTCAGACTCTTCACCTTCGCGAGGGGAGCCAACTTCATCTTCATGAGAAGTACTCAAGTTCGTACCCAAGTCACTTCCAGCAGAGGTTTTCAGTTCACCTTTAAAAACCACTTTAAATTAATTTTGAACATTTGTTATTTGCGAATTTACTAGTTTTATCTTCTCCACCTTCTTCTTCGACATCTTGTTCCTCCTCTTCTTCAGACTCTTCATCTTCAGGGTAATCTTCTGGAAATAGTCTTTCACATTCCGCCTTACCTTCCTTAGCATTCGGAGACATGTATAATGGTTCCAATTGGGCAAACGCGAAAATAACTTCGCTTTTCTTCTTGGACACTTGGAGAACTAGTTTTTCGGTGCTACATTTACAAAAATTGTGCTGATGATAAAATGATGGGCGTTCACCCGATACAAACGTTGGCAAACGGTTTACGCTATTTCTGCTGAACGGCATATTTGTGAGCGCTTAATTTCAACATGTTTCGTGAAGATCGAAAAGATCGTTCACCAGAGAACTATTTGCTATCTGCCACATAAACGTTTTACTTTTGAGCATAGCATAAACATGTTGACGGTCATTTGATTCTGGTGAACGCCGCCAATAAAAAGCAGAAGGAGAAACTGCTCAATGTAGAATAGAAAAATTATAAGCTCTTACAATGTTCTTTCGTTAACTGGCATTTTATCTAATTTTTTCAGCGAACTTGCCACCAGCTTAGTATTTTCCAAATTTTCGCTCGTGAAGACTCCATGTTTCATTATTTCCATTGGATGTTCTTGCATTACACTAATTGCATCGCGTTTAGTTATTGGAAATACGATAGCAAGATGTTCGGGTTCGGGGGCTGGTTCAGGAATAGTGAAATCTTTGGCAACTTTAGGGAAAAACATTCTTAACGCTGTGGCTTGGATCCTGGGATCCACTGGTGCCCAAATACCGATAGGACTTTTCACTGTAATTTAATCAAGAAAATTTTATTGAAATGTGGACCACCAGTGATTATCACCTTTTTCTTCCTTTTTCACCTCTCCTCCTTCCTCTTCATCAATAATAATGAGCTTTTGAGCAGCACTTTCGGGTGAACCAGGAGGTTTTTTCATTTCCCCATAAATCACTGTTAATAGTACATCAAGAATCTCTTCAAAATCACATCTGGGAGCTATTTTAAATAAAATCATGAGTGATTCTTCATTGTAAAGCGATTCTAACGATTCTTCGGAGAAAAGTTCTGATATTTGGCTGAAATAGCAGAGTTCTTCCATTGTTTCTTCCTCGAAACGAATCTAGGAGATTTTTATTTCAAGGATTTTATAAGATATTTGGCTTTACCTTTTCTGTCTGATTAATATTCAATCCAGCTTCATCCAGTATTTCATTAAGGACTTCTTTGTACTTATCTCTGGCTGCAGGGAATACTAATGCTGTGCCATAGTTGGCTAGATTGGCTAGGATACTTTCACACTCTTTTGTTCGTCTTTCTAGAAGTTCTTTGGCCTTCTTGGCTTCTTCTTTTTCTCTTAAATATTATCTATGTTGCAATACCTTTATTTTTTTTAAAAAAAGGAAATTAAGTTATTTATTTACCTAATTGCTTTAGCTAAACTTTCAGCAGCATCATATCGCACTTGTTCCTCGTCAGCTAATTCTGTAACTTCTTTGGGAGTTCGATCTGTAGTTTGGCCGCTCTGTTGTGCTTGCTCTTTTTTCAATTCGCTCAAAATTAGTCTTGTGAGCTTTGGAGCATCTGCACCAAACATTAGGTTAACCATTAATCCATTCTAAAAGAAAAATGCCCTAACAATTTGATTTGGCTCCCACCAACTTTAACTTACAGATATAAATAACCAGGTTGGTTCACTTTTATTTCTAAACCTTTTCAAAGCTGTTATACCATCTGATTTAGCCTAAATATTGATAATTACAAAAAATGAAACATCTATTTAAAAAACTTCTTACGACTGCTAGCTGCAACAAATCTCCACCAAATTCCAATTTAATTTTTTTCAAGTTAGCTTGCATGCCTAGACACGGGCCACACCAATCCGAGTAGACATCTACGACTAAGAAATACCTACCACTAAGTATCTAGAATCTAGATATATACAAAAGTCAGCAGCTTACCAATTAGTCCGTCTTTTAGTAAAAGTTTTTCCCATTCTTCGTCGTTTGCAACTTCAATTTGCAGTTGAACTGCCTGACCTTTCTTTGCCATATTTTTATTTCTATGTTTTTATTGTCAAAAGCTCAAAAGTACATAAAGTCAGAAGTGAGGTTTAATGTTGCTGGTCGTTGCTAGGGGTTTTAATAATTGATCAAACTACAGGGATTTTCGAGCGAGTTTCTATCAAGAATGGAATAGTTGGGGAGCTGGCGTCAAAAACATGCAAGAGTTTTCGCAAGGCGGATATTTTCAAAATAGGTCGTACTTTAGTGCTAGAATGCTAGTGTACAGTCAGCACTCACAGTTCCGGGACAGGTGGCTCTGGGACGCGGGCAAAGTTGTAATTTTGAGAAGCATCTAAACTGTTTTCTCAAAGCTAAAAATTTATATAAATTTTGCACATTATCTGTTTGAAGGTCACAGATAACGTATGTAAATCGTCAGACGTCTAGTTCGTTGCAAAAAGGGGGTCAGACGTCCTCAAAGTTTTTATTTTATGGCATTTTCTTCGGTGTCCTGTCAAAATATATTTTTGCAGGTATTTGACAAATATATTTGAAGAAAATGCCATCACAATGCCATAAAATAAAAACTCTGAGGACGTCTGACCCCCTTTTTGCAACGAACTAGACGTCTGACGATGTACATACGTTATCTGTGACCTTCAAACAGATAATGTGCAAAATTTCTATAAATTTTGAGCTTTGAGAAAACAGTTTAGATGCTTCTTAAAATTACAACTTTGCCCGCGTCCCAGAGCCAGCTGTCCCGGAACTGTGAGTGCTGACTGTACACTAGCATTCTAGCACTAAAGTACGACCTATTTTGAAAATATCCGCCTTGCGAAAACTCTTGCATGTTTTTGGCGCCACCTCCTGGACTAAAAGTGCGTGATTTCTTATTATTGAATATATGGATTATGGATATAACTCAGCAGCTAAAATGTGTGCTATTTTCTTAATTTTAGACTAATAACGACAAAATACAAAAATTGTTAAATTTAGACGGAATTAGTACAGTGATGCTTATAATTATTATGAAGCTTTTTGCCTATATTTTCTAAAGTTCAAAAAAGTGTATCTACGGTCAAAACTGATATTCCAACAATAAATTGACATGTTTTGATTGTTGATTTGAACCAATCAGATTGTAATTACGCGATAATTTGCACTAGTGCAAATTATCAGATAAATGCATAACTGGTGCGAAAACTGGTGTTTTGACATTTTTTGACAAAAAATTTAAATTTTTGATTTATGAAATTCTCTCATTAAATACAACTCGTGCAATGGAAATATATTTATAATTTTCGACAAATTTGCACTCATGCGTTTTTAACTGAAAAAGGCACTCGTGCTCTTTTTCAACTAAAAATGCATTCGGGCAAATTTCCCAAAAATTATCAATAATTTCCATTGCACTAGTTATATTACTATTGAGAATTTCAATGGCATTCCAACAAGTTGTTCAACAATTGGACAGGCTGCACTGACAGGACTCCGAGAGTTCTATTGAAAATAGGTTCCTACCTACTTCGTTTATTATTAGGGAGTTTTTGATGAAGCTGTTCGGGAATTTGATTTCTGGTTTTCAAAGAATAACTCAATTTAAAGAATTATACAGTCACAGACAATGTTAGGCTGTTTCACAATGATTAAAGAGCGAACTCCAAGATCATTTTGAATAATTGGAAATTGAAAAACCTGTTATGTAAAAACCCCAAAAACAGGAATAATTTGTGAAATCCGCACTGATAAATTGACGTTCAAGGTTAGGTTAGGTTAGGTTAGGTTAGGTTTAAAATGAGTGGACCGATTATCTAGCCCTCCACTGCGACCCTCACCGGGTCTATTGTGGCTCATACTTCCAACAATCATTTGATGGTCATAGTTTGTCGTACAAGCCACATCTCTTGATAAAGTCTATGGTAGTAAACGGCAAGACTTGCCTGAAGTTGTTTGGTTCCAGCTGGGCGTATCCGAAGATCGCAAACCTATTCCTCTAGAGTGCTGGACAGGCACATAAGATATGCTCTGCTGTTTCGTCTTCCACAAGGCGAAAGCGGCAGTCCAGTGAACTGCGCAACCCAATCTTGTTTAAGTCAAAGTGGTAGTTAAGACGACAGTGGCCGGTTAGCAGCCCGGTGCAGGGGCAGATTAAGCCTTTTTTCGCCCCTGGGCAATTAAAATTATTTCGCCCCCTTCCAAGCTGTGGCCTATATCATAATTTTTTATTTTGTCATTTGAAGATTCTTCAATACAAAAAAGACAAATACCTACTTAGTATATTGAATTAAAAATGGTATGAGATAAGTTGATTAGTGCCAAGTCTGAAGTCACTTGCAGTGGCGCACCCAAGGGGGGGGGGGTTTCGGGGTTAACCCCCCCCTCCCTAAATTTACCACTGGTACAAAGAATAGGCCTTTTTCGTCTCAAAGCTTGAACGCTTTGTGTTGAATTTCATTTTTCTAGATTTCCAGGCCAAATTTATGTAGTATGTATTCCGTTTTCGTTAATAAAAATAGCGAATAACTTGTGAAATCCACTCATGAAGAGAAGATTAAGTTTTTTGTATTGAATTTTTTGTGTTTTTTTTTTTCAAATTTTTGGTGATAATTTGTACATGGCACCCCTAAAAGGTTTTGCCTCCGACAGCGAGTTGATTTAGGTGAGTAAATAGCGAGGTACACACATAAATTTATTCAATCACTTACAAAAAGTTATTTTTTGAAGCTTAAAATAAATGTTTTTGGGCATGACACCCGAAAAATTCTTCAATATTTCTTTTTTTCTTCCTATGGCGACCGGACTACGGCAGCGCCTGCCTGCGGCGAGCCTTCATCATTATGAAAACCCCCCCCCCAAATAAAAAACGTGTGTGCGCCACTGGTCACTTGTCTTTTCGTCTGAAAGTGTGTTTTTAAGATAGTTTTTAATCCTCCTTAGGTTGGAAAAGGACCTCTCTCTCCAGACGCGTTAGTCGATGGAAGGCAAACATACATTCTCAATGGTACCTCGATATTAGGAAATGTCGAGATTAGTTTTTCAGACTTTAAACTTTGTAGAAGTTCTCCCAAATTTGAGTGAGGGGCCATCGTGACCACTAGAAATCAGTAAATATTTATAGTGAAGACATTCCTGAGCAAAATAATCGACCAGATCGTTTTCAAATGTTTCCTTAAGTCGCCGCGCTTTTGTTCTTAGTTCTTGGTCAGATAATCGGCCTGTTCGAGTTTGAAAAACGGACTAAAACGGTTCAAAACAATCGCACAGTTTATTATTGAAGTTTGTGATAGCCGAGCCGTTGTCATTTTGTTGATTATTGATAAACTGTGCGATTGTTTTGAACTATTTTAGAACCGTCCTTTTTTCAAACCCGAATAAAGCTATCATCACAGCTATCATCATGACAAATTATACAAAAATCCAGTTCCAAGGTCAAAATTTTGTCATATTATGGTTGTGTTCGTTTTTGCCATCATTTTTGTCGATTTGCTCCGAAACTTTGACAGGCACGTGACTGGATCAGACAGTTTCAAATTACAGATCACGTGCCTGTCAAAATTTCGGAGCAAATCGTCGAAAAAGATGACATAAACGAACACTGCTTATGTGTAAGAAGTCGAGTTTTTATCATTTATCCCATTTTGACGTTTAAAAATGACATTATTGAATGCATAACAATAAAGGTAAGTAGACGCACTCAACCAAATAGTAGCATAAATAAAAAGAAGTTGTTCTTTGATTTAATGAACAATTCATTAAAATCGGTCCAAAGAACGGCTTCTTTGATTACATGAACTCTACGTTATTGAAGGATGAACAATTTCTTAATTCCTATTTCGATTCATCTTGTGTATGAACAACGAACATTAAGGTATGTAGCAAGGTTTTTGTATTAATGAAACTTTTCATAGTAACAATAAACATCGTTCTTAGTTTATATGTACTTTTTCATTGTCCTGATGAACAGACGGCATAATATTAATGAAGCCCAGATATAATTTGATGAAACCCTTTCATTGTATTTATGAATCACAGTCTTGAATACTAAGAATTTCATTCATTGTATTTATTAATGACGTTTTCAATAATATATACCATATTATTTATTTTTATTAAAATAATTTCATGAATTATGCCTTAAATATACTTATGATTTTAAATGGGGTAAAGGGTCATTTTTTATATTTGCGTGTCCCCTGTACTGATGAATATGAGCAATAGGAAAAAAGCTTTTAATGCAAAAGTTGCATGGTTTCTTCGTATCATCTTCCAGAATTGTCAAACAAACCAATGGGCATCCCAAAATCTGAAAATTCAAAAATCTAAGTACCTACTTATGTATTTTTATTTTAAATGACACTAACCGTATATTCTACTATCTTTCAAATCCTTCTTAAATCCTGTTTCCATAAATATATAATATATCTATGTTTGTTCCAGCTGTTTTTGAACTATCAACATCCAAATTTTCTAAAACAAGCTACATCAGAAAATTAGATTTGATGCCTTGGCTGGTTTCCATGCCTCGGCTATGACACACTAGCTGCGGCATTGAATCTTCTGCTTTTCTACCTAGTGAAACAAAACCATTAAACAAAAATATATCGATGAAAAAAATTACAACTTGATTTGAGATTGGGTATACTTACTTTTAGAGACTTCAGTATTCCTTAGAAATTCTGAGGAGCTCTTGACGCTTTTGTCTTTCACGTTCTCCCCGGATGACATTTAAATCTGTAGGTCATTTCTTTCGCATTCCCATTTTGAGACTAGACCGTCTCCGTGCAAGGCATCAAAGTCCTACCTACATAATAGGTAAGTATACATATTATAGAGGTAATAGAGGTATACAACTTACCTTTAGAAAAAACCGGCGACAGGTATAACCGACTTTCTATTTAACACTTCGAACAACATAAAACCGAAAAAACCGACTTGAACGAAGTACGTAGCAATGCACCCAGAAAATAGAAATGTAATTATTCCTATTTCAACATATTTTTCTATGTCGTTGCCCGACTGCAGCTACCTTTGCGCATGTGCTTAGGAACTGTCTACATTGATG